GCGCGCGCTCCCCTTCCCCGCGCCCGCCATGCGCCCGCTCTTCGCGGTGGGCCTGGTGTTCGCCGGCTGCTGCAGTAACGTGATCTTCCTGGAGCTCCTGGTCAGGTGAGTGCCCCCCGCGGTTCCCGGGGCTGCACCGAGAAAGCCGGAGGGGCGTCCGCACGCGTCACCCCCACGCACCGCGGGGTCGGCTCTGCACGCCTGGAACCCTGAGAGTCCACCCCTTCATCCTGCGCTCCGCCCGCTGTCCCACCAAATAGTTTCACAGCCTCGCTCGCAGAAACACTCGGGGTGTTGGCTGGCATCACCCCCTTTTCGCACACGGGGGGATTGAATCCGGGGGAATTTCTCACGTGACTGGCCTCAGGTTTGCAGGAGCTTGTGGCAGACCCCAAGGTTCCTCTAGCTCTTTTCGCGGGTAATAATGCCACGTTTGACTAAAGCATAGCGTTTCGACTTATAATGCAGTCTGGTTTTGCACACGCTGCAAAGAAAGTGTCATGTGTATTCAAGTGCCTGCCAAGCATTTGTTTTGCTACCCTTACAGATCAGATGGCCATGAGGACTTTGCCCAAACATTACCTCTCAGTGATGTAGGTGAATCAGTTCTTATTTATGTCTATGGCCCGTCTAATTGACCCAAGAGAGCATTTCCAGCTTTAAGATATTAGTCTTTAAATTGGGAGGCATGTATTTTGAGACCTAACTTTCTAAATTAAGACTGGGGGAGTGGATAAAAACAGCTGTGGTACATTTATACAGTGGAATACTACTTGGCTGTAAAAAAGAAGAAAATCTGACCTTTTGCAACAGCATGGATGGACCTGGGGAGTATTATGCTAAGTCAAATGAGCCAGTCAGAGAAAGACAAATACCAAATGATCTCAGGTATATGTGGAATGTAATCAACACAATCACTTGACAAATAAAATAGAAACAAGCATAGGTACATAACAGATTGACAGCTGTCAGAGGGGAGGAGAGTTGAGGGCTGGGTGAAAAAAGGTGAAGGGATTAAGAAAAAAAAAATGTATATGACACATAGGCAGGAACAACAGTATGGTGATAGCCAGGTGGAAAGGAGGGGTTGGGAGGTGGAAGTGGGCAAAGAAGAGGTAAGTGGGAACAAATGCATTTGACTTGGGTGGTGAGCGCAGGATGCAGATGATGTTTTTATTGAGTTGTACACTTGAAACCTGTATGGTTTTACTAACCAGTGTCACCCCAATAAATTCAATTAAAAAAGAAAAAAAGAATGGGGGTGCCAAATGGAAGCTTCCAGTGGTGAGCAGGAGGTACTACACACAGATGTCAAATTTTAATGTTGCACACCTGAAACTTACGCAATGTTAGCTAAAAAAGAAAGAAAGAAAGAAAAGAATGGCCTCACCAAAGGGAAACTAGGATGGCATGCAAATAATGTTGAGTAATAATGTGCAACGTTCAGTGGGTGCAAACTTACAGAAAAAGCACCAGGTGTCCTGAAAAAGGCTCAGGACTGAAAAATCTCGAAATTATGAACTTCATTCTTGGCTTTGTCATACCCGGGTTGGGTGACCTTTTCAAATCATTTCGCTTCTCTGGACCTCCTCCTGCTGTAAAATGCTATTTATGGCGCTATCTACCATCATCTTTCTGAGCCTACACGTTATCTCCATGGACCCTCAGGACAATCTGTGTCCAGTATAGGTCAAGAACTATAATGTCTATTTTACTGAAAATGGAACAGAAGTTAGATGGTCTTTTACTTCCTGTAAGTGGCAGAGACAAAACTGGAATCCAGGGTATCTGAACTCCTAGTCCAGCGGTTCTCAACCTGTGGGTTGCAAACAATGAAAATACATCCTGCATATCAGATATTTACATTATGATTCATAACTATATCAAAATTACTGAAGTAGCAACGAAAATAATTTTATGGTTGGGGGTCACCACAACTTGAGGAACTGTATTAAAGGGTTGCGGCATTAGGAAGGTTGAGAACCTGTTAATTTTGAACTTGAGCAGCCTATAGGTTTTGGTCACCCAGTTTCTCATGTGGTGCCCACTAGAAATGTATTTTATTTTCCTGATACCATTAAGTCATTCTGAAGCAACCAGTTTATTTAAGGTAAACTCTGTGTGGGGTTAATTTTTGCAGTTACTGAGCTTGAAATTTTGTTATGCAGACAGTGTTGATAAAGATCTGTCACTTGTCATTTTTTTCTTTTTAAAGGATAAAGTACTGTAAAAAAAAAAAAGAATAGTTTACTGATTTTTAGAGAGAGAGGAAGAGAGAGAGGAACATGGATATGAAAGTGCAACATCGATCAGCTGCCTCCTGCACGCTCCCCACCGGGGATCCAGCCCGAAACCTGGGCATGTGCCTTGACCTCGAATCCGACCGGCAGCTTTGTGGTGCACAGGAGGCCCAAAGTACTGAGCCACACTGGCCAGAGCCATTTGTCCTGCTTGGGAGTAGGTGGCAAGGGATATAGCAATGTATCCTGCTGTAAGCTGGTGCATTTCAAAGGAAGGTTACTTTGGAAATCATTTTTTTGTAATGATTTCTGTTCTTTTATTTTTTTAAATTTATCTTTATAGTTGAAAGTATTACATATGTCCCCCTTTTTTCCACATTGACCCCCGCCCCAGGCCTTCACTGCACTATTGTCTGTGTCCATGGGTTATGCAGATATGCATAGAAGTTCTTTGGTTAATCCCTTCCCACCCTCCACCCCCTCTAACACCCTGCCTTCCCTCTGAGATTTGTCAATCCGTTCCATGCTTCTATGCCTCTGGATCTGTTTTGTTCATCAGTTTATTTTGTTCATTACATTCCACATATGAGTGGAATGAGTTTTTGTTTTAAGGATCAGTTATAAACAATCACCTAAGGAGGGTGCGAGGTGCTTCACTGCTGTTGAGAAGAAAGGGGTAGGGCTCAAGGGGCATGAGGTAGAGGGGGGGGGGGGAGAGGGAGAGAGAGAGAGAGAGAGAGAGAGAGAGAGAGAGAGAGAGAGAGAGAGAGAGATCGGGAGGAACACCTGCGGCAGCTAATAGAGATTTAAGGAAGGAGCTGAAGGGAGCAGCAAAAGATCATGTGATGCTAGTCTTTCTCTGACTGGCTTATTTGGCTTAGTATAATACTCTGCACATCCCTCCATGCTATCCCAAAGGGTAAGAAATCTTTCTTTTTTACTGCTGCATAGTATTCAATGGTGTAAATGTACCACGGCTTTTTTTATCCACTCATTTAACTCGGGCTGTTTCCAGATCTTCGCTATTGTAAATTGTACTGCTCTGAACATAGGGGTACATACATTCTTTTTGATTGGTGTTTCAGGTTTCTTGGGATATATTCCTAGAAGTGGGATCATTGGGTCAAATGGCAGTTCCATTTTTAATTTTTTGAGGAAACTCCATACTGTTTTCCACAGTGGCTACACCAGCCTGCATTCCCACCAGCAGTGTACTAGGGTTCCCTTTTCTCCACATCCTCACCAGCACTTGTCCTTTGTTGATTTGTTAATGATAGCTATTCTGACAGGTGTGAGGTGCTACCTCATTGTTGTTTTAATTTGCATCTCTCTGTTGATTAGTGACTGAGCATTTTTTTCATATGTCTCTTAGCCAGCTGTATGTCTTCTTTGGAAAAGTGTCTATTTAAGTCTTTGCCCATTTTTTAATTGGATTATTTGTAAGCAATCTATGAATTTAATGCAATTCCTTTAAAATACCAATGGCATATTTCACTGATCTAGAACAAATGTTCCAACATTTATATGGAACCAAAAAAGTCCATGAATAGCTGCAGCAATCTTGAGAAAGAAGAACAAAGTGGTAGGGGTCACAATACCAGATATCAAGTTAGACTACAAAGCCACTGTGCTCAAAACAGCCTGGTCCTGGCACAAGAACGGGCATATAGATTAATGGAACAGAACAGAGAACCCAGAAATCGACCCAAGCCATTATGCTCAATTAATATTTGACAAAGGAGGCAAGAGCATATAATGAAGTAAAGACAGTTTCTTCAATAAGTGGTGTTGGGAAAATTGGACAAATACATGCAAAAAAATGAAACTAGGCCACCAACTTACACCATACACAAGAATGAAGTCAAAATGGATAAAAGACTTAAATGTAAGTCATGAAACCATAAAAATTCTGCAAGAAACCATAGGCAGCAAAATATTAGGTACCTCTCGTAACATATGTTTGCTGATAGATTTCCTAAGCCTTTGGCAAGGGAAACAAAGGAGAAAATAAATGGGACTACATCAAAATAAAAAGCTTCTGCACAGCAAAAGAAATCATCAACAAATGAAAAGGGAGCCCACTGCATGGGAGAACATATTTGCCACAGATATATCTGGTAAGGGGTTAATTTTCAAAATATTTAAAGGACTCACACAACTTAACAAATGGAAATTGATTTTAAAATATAAAAATGTGATAAGATCAGGCCAAATAAAGGTCAGAGAAGAATAGTGTCACATTTGTGTTGAATATGCCATTAAATTAAATCTTCTGAAAGGTTGTGTGAAGTCAGTTACACCAGCAGCTGAAGGCCCTCTTTACTAGTTATGAGCACTCGGCTAAATTACTTGGTCTCCCCAGCCTGTTTGCTCAACAGTAAAAGTGGGGTGGGGAGGTGATGGCTCCACCTGCCTCACGTGGATTTGAAGGAGATTCATGTGCAAAGCCTGAAGCACATTCAGGCTTCCCCTCCCCTCTAACAACTTCTATTTCAGTGCAGGTCTGCCTTGTTTTATGGGTTTGTTCCTGAGAAGTTGTGGATAAATCTAACTTTACAGAATGTTTTCATGCATTATGGAAGCATCTAGTTTGAATGCTTTGAATAATGTGTAAATAAATCATCGCTCATTTATCCCTTTTGTAAATCGAGATTTTTGCATACAGCAATGGGCTTTCATAAGGAGAGGGGTACATTTATGACTTTAATGAATGGTACATCAGATGAATAGCAGCTTTTTTCCTGATTTGCTTGGGCAACTCATGACTTCTCATGTTACAATAAAATAAGAGCTGGCTGGACTGGATGGTCTTTAAAGTTCTTTCTAGTTTTGGCCTTCTCAGAATTTGTGACGCTGTCTTGGGACATCACAGCTCATAAATCTTTATAGAGCAGGAACTGTGCTTTGTATATGGCTTCCTTGGAACCCTTGGATGCCATAATAAATGGCAAGTAGAAACATGGAAATGCTAAAGTGAATTGCAGGGAGAAGCGAACATTTTAAATCATTATTTTTCCCAAATTGGAAAAACAAATGTAGGTTTTTCTTTCTGATGTTCATGTTTATTTTAGGATCTAAAATAAAATACAGGCCACAATGCAGTGTAAAGAGCAGATGTGAATGACTGAAGGGATGTGCATCAGCTAACTGAGTAGGCAATGTATTGTGTGTTTTACATGAGGAAAACACTCTGAAACATTTTCTTTCCCCCATTTTATTCCAATCAAGTGCCTGGTATTGAATCAAATAGAAAAGTTTCCTAAATCTAGACTATGAGATAACAAAAGGCATAAAATATATGCCCAGTTCTTTCTCTTCAAAGTTGCCTTTTTTATTTTTATTTTTTTAAATATATTTTATTGATTTTTTACAGAGAGGAAGGGAGAGAGATAGAGAGTTAGAAACATCGATGAGAGAGAAACATCGATCAGCAGCCTCCTGCACATCTCCTACTGGGGATGTGCCCACAACCCAGGTACATGCCCTTGACCGGAATCGACCCCGGGACCTTTCAGTTCACAGGCCGATGCTCTATCCACTGAGCCAAACCGGTTTCGGCAAAGTTGCCTTTTTTTTAAAAAATAAAAATTTGCCCTGGCTCACATGGCTCGGTTGGTTGGAGCATCGTTCCATCATGCACTGCAGGGTCATGGGTTCGATTCCTGGTCAGATACATACCCAGGTTGTGGTTTTGATCCCCAGTCAGGGCGCATACGAGAGGCAACCAATCGATGTTTCTCTCTCACGTGTATGTCTCTCTCTAAAATCAATAAAAGCATATCCTTGGGTGAGGATTTAAAAAAATTTTTATATAAAAAGTTAGAATGAAATAAAGTAAATTTGGATTCTTGTAAAAGAGAATTCAAAGTCAAAGAAACTGTTTGCAATTATGACTATAATTCCCAAAAATGAATTTCAACAAAACAAGTGATTTAGGGAAAAGGCTCCTAAGTTTTTACTCCAAAGTTTTAAAATGAATTAAGTTAAAATAAATAATTCCATTGGTATCTACACAACAGTGTGTTCCTAAAAAGCTCTGTAAGTTCATTTTTAAAAAATGGAATCATGTGAGTGCAGTAGGGAAATTTAACAATGCTATGGAAATAGAGCATGGAGATTAGAGTTGTCAAGGGGCTGATTGGATTTGTTGTTGGAGGTGTCCTAAATCCAGATCATGGTTGCTTAAAGTGAGGCATCCCCACATTCACTCAGGTGCTTGAGTGAAGGCCAGACACTGCCCAGAGAGTAGGGGCACCTTCCTCTAGCCATCCCTCTGTGGCACGGGTCCTGACTATCGCATACTCCCTCATCCTGTCATCTCGGGGGCAGGGATCAGGTCTCATTCACATGGGAGCTTCCTGGCCCCTAGCCCCTAACTTTACGCACAGTAGGTACTCCCTAATTGTTCTTTAGTTGAATCGACCTAGGCTTTTGGTAAAAAGAAATGGGAAGGAAAGCCAGGAAGCTTCTTGAGCCCTCGGGCTAAGTCTTGGGCTTGGCACTTTATGTATATTTTTTTCATTACATCCTCATGACAAGGTTAAAAACATGTCCCTTTTGATTTATAGGTGAGAAGAAAATGGTCAGTATAAACATATTTTAAAAGGTTACTATATTCAATTGAAGACCTTCTCATATTCAAGATGCAACATTTTGGTCATCCTAGAGTCCCAGTCTGCCTTTTTCCTGCTTGGCAGACGCTGTGGGAAGTGCTTTTCAGGGACTGGCTTATTTGCTCTGCAGTAAAACCAATGAGGTAGGCACTCATACTGTTCCCATTTGAAAGATAAGAAAACTAGATGTAGATAGGGTAATCAACTTCCATGTCATAGGGTAAGTGACAGCTGCGTCTTGCATGTCACTGTGTATTTTTAGCCACTGGAGCGCAGTAATTCTCAACCCTGTGTCAGCACATAAAGATTACCTGTGCATCTTACACGCACCCTCACCCCTTCCGGCCTTTCCCCAAGACCTACCTTAGGCTTCTCAGCTCTGGCTGCACATGAGAATCAAGTGGGAAGCTTTCAAAAGTACAGGACCTACCCCAGACCAATCCAGTCCGAACTGGGAGGGGAGGCTCCCAGCGCTCATGGTTTTAAGGAGCAGCCTAGGTGTGCAGACTGTGCCAAGAACTATCTAGAGCTCAGGTTCGTTCTCTAACTCATAGTGAGGCTAATGGCTTTAATTTGCTCCTTCAATGAGGTAAATGTCTTACACGATTATTTATGGATTCCTGCAGCCTTTCGCCCTGTCCCTTGAATGTAAGAGGTGCTAAAAGAAATCACCGAATTGAATATAAAGCAGTTTTCATAGGCAGTGGAGCCTAAAGAGTAGCAACAGCTCTGCCTCAGATGTCAGCATAGCTCCGTACAAGAAAGGCGTGTGCTTGGAGCTATTTATTTTTATGCCTGATGGGTGTATTTTGGAATTTGTATGCTCGGCACTGCTATTCAATATTAAAACCACTAACAGAGGATGGAGTTTTTTTGTTTATTTTAAAGTAAATAGCATTGTATTAATATGTAGTAATATAATTACACCCCTCAACTCAGTATCTGAGGGTAAATGCCTTGGGTGAAGGTGAAGATGCAGGCTACGCAGGCTGAATTTTGTAATGTGGGGATGTGGGTAGAATGGGCAACCAGGGAGCTGCAGGAAAACAAAGGCAGGTAGCTGCTCACTCTGACCTTCCTCCGGTGGTTGAGCGGAGCCTCACGGAGGACAAGCTCAAGAAAACCACACACAGTTTGAGTAACGCCTTTCAGTGTGCCTCAGGAGGGATGCCAGAAGGAATTCTTCTCTTGGACATTTTCCCCTAAGTCATCGCGGAAGATTCCCCATCCCTTATTAGATCACTGAAGAGCTTCGATTGAATTTCATGAACATTCACTGAGTGCCTAATAGGGTTGTATCGTAAATCAGCAAGCTAGACGAGACGCCTTAATGAGCCAATTAGTTAGGAGTCATCTTTATTGCCTGCGGGTTCAGAGCAGAATACCGCTGTCAACTTCTGAACCCCAAAACATAGAGGAAGTTCTCGCTATTTATACCTTTTGACCTCTTTGCAGATTTTACAAAGAGCTTTGTGTAGGTTATTTTTGCAGACAGTTTGTAAGTTTGGATACATAATGAACAAACACTTGGCATGAGAATATGGGAATTATTATTAGTATTCACCTATTACATTAGATGGCTAGCTTGCAAGGTCAGACAGTTAAGTTTTTATCTTGTTCTATTATTCAAACTAAAACAGTTATTTTACAGAATAAGGGACTATCTAAAAATAACGGAGTCGATTTACAGAATAAGAGACTGTCTAAGAATAACAGTAGTTCAAACAGCAGTTTTCTAAAGGAGGAATTACTATGCTTCAGTATATTTGTGTTAAAGGTTGTGGAGAATAAGCAGTGTCCTCATTCTGTTCATTATTGCTTCTTACCCCTCTCCCCACCCCCATCTAAAGCCCCCGTTGAGACATTTTTTCCTAGACATCCCCCCCCCGACACACTGTATATGGGTTTATGTACTGTACGTATATCTGTGCTTTATACTTACAAAATACTAAGCTTTCTCCCACCCTAAGGACCAGTTTTTGCCTCTATACGGGAGTGAAGGCAATGTCCCTGGATATGAGCCTTTGACTGACAGTAGTCTTGGAGATTCCAGTCAGGAGGATATATAAATGTTTCTAGGAGACTGAGCATGAGCTGCGTAGGCTGACTAGGACCCTGAATGAAGTCCTCTTGGCTACGTAAGTGACGATCTCAAAAAGAACATCTGACTGACCAGCTTCCTCCAGGTTACTAGGAAGGTTGTATCAGAGCGGCCCTTCCTGATGGCCTGCTGTGCCTATGGGAGAGTGAACTAAGGCTTGGCGTTCTTCTCTGAGGTGTGTGAGCCATGGGACATGAAAACCGAGAGGACAGTGGGTAATGGAAATCTATCCCCCTGTTACTCTGAACTGTCAGTATAACAGGTCATAGTGGCCTTTATCTCAGTCTTTTGTGCCTTTTTCTTTTTGTCCCTCACTATGCAGGAGGCATCCAGGATGCGGGAACATTGTGACATTTGCACAATTTTTATTTATTGCTGTGGAAGGCTTCCTCTTTGAAGCCAATTTGGGGAGGAAGCAGCCAGCTATCCCAATAAGGTATGTACATTGAAGTCTCTTTTAGCCTTGTCTGTCTTAAAATAACATTGCCTAAGAATCCAGAAACACCAGTCAGAAAGAATATATCTACCCCTGTGTTCATAGCAGTGCAATTTACAGGAGCTAAGATTTGGAAACAGCCCCAGTGCCCGTCAGCAAGATGAGTGGATAAGGCTGTGGTACCTTTACACAGTGGAATGCTACACAGCTGTGAGAAAAGAAAGAACTCACCATTTGCAACAGCGGGCATGAACCTGGAGAGTATTATGCTAATCTGAATAAGCCAGTCAGAGAAAGATAAAGTATCACATTATCTCACTCATTTGTGGAATCTAATGAACAAAATAAACGAATCCAGAGGCATAAAAGCATGCAACAGGCTGACAACTTCAGAGGGAAAAGGGGGGTGATTAGGGGGTGGGAGAGGAGGATTCACTGGGGAACTTACATGCATTTGTGCATAACCCAAGAACACAGACAGTAGGGTGGTGACAGCCTGGGAGAGGTGGGTACCGGGTGGAGGGGGTCAATGGGGAAAAGAACACAAACAGGACATCTGTAATACTTTCAACGATAAAGAGAAATTTAAAAAAAATCAAGAGCTTTTCTGGTACTTATATAAAAGGAATATGAGACATCTATTTATAAGATTTGTATCAAAGATATTTAGTAGAGTTTATATTCATATTCTGAATTTAATATGTTGTGAAACTCCAGGAGCCTATATTTAGAATAAAATTCCTGCCACAACACTTTAAATAACTGTGATGGAGACAACAGTATATGCATATACATGTACATATACATACATATATATACATATATATGTATATATATGTATATATATGGGGTAGGTGGTCAGTTAAAGGCCTAGTGTGATCACCAATTTTTTAAATAGTTATGTACACTATCCTCATGTTATCACATATGGTAAGAGTGGTCTCATTGTTCCTTTTAAGAAATGAATGGCTTTTGGAAATAGAGGTGGTAGTTGCACAATATTGAGAATGTACTAAATGCCCCTGAATTGTTCACTTTAAAATGGTTGATTTTAGGTTATGGGAATTTCACCTCAATTAAAAGAAAGTGATTGGCAAGCTAAGGCAAAATTATTGATTCCAGACCTCTGTCCATTAGTCCATATTTACATAATTGTACTCATGGGGCCAAATAGCAGTTCTTATAATAAACAATGTATTGAAAACTCAGTATTCTTGCTGTCAGAGACTTGAAATAAATATATAATCCATCCAGTTGTGAGTATGTAATAGGATGGTGTCACTTAATCTCTCTGAGGGGGTCCTTCTGGTATGAATGCATTCGGGGACTGGTTAAGGCTCGTCCTTGTTGGTATTATTTTACAGCATTCCTGAGTAAGCTTACTGTAGAAAACCTAGCTGAATTTTGTTATTAATATCATATTTAAAATTCCCAAATGTGATGCTAAATATTCTGAATACATTTTTTTTTGTTTCTGTTGACTTTCATATCTGCATAAAATTCTTTGCTCTCAAGACCAGCCTGTACATCACGGGAGCTCCAGCATTTTTCATTTCTTTGACCCTTTCTCTCTTTCCATCTGGCTGCTAGTGTAGTTCAGGAACATATTCACTTTCCTCTTAACTTTCATAATAGTTCTAGAGGCCCAGTGCACAACATGCGTGCACTCAGGGGGTGGGGGAAGAGATCCTTCAGCCCAGCCTGTGCCCTTTAGCAGTCTGGGAGCCCCTCAAGGGCTCAAGCTGGCAGTAGGACATCCTTAGTGCTGCCACGGAGGTGAGAGAGGCTCCCACCACCGCTGCTGTGCTCGCCATCTGTGAGCCTGGCTTCTGCCTGAGCGGTGCTCCTGCATTGTGTACCTGCCCCCTGGTGGTCAGTGCACATCATAGTGACTGGTCATTCCACTGTTCGGTCGATTTGCATATTACCCTTTTATTATATAGGATCCTTCCTGCATGGCCTTCCATCTGTCACCTCCTCATCCCCTGTGTCAACTTCTTACCTTTATAGCATGGCACACTCTCTCACAAGTGCTCAGGGGTCACCATTAGGGTCAAAGTGAAGCCCAAACTCCCTAACCTGCCCTTGGAGCTCACCATAATCCTTCCCTAACAACCATACTTCATATGTCCCATTTGTGCTGGCTTTTTATTTCCTATCTATGAGGCTGTAATGAAAATCTTGCTCATGTCATTCATTCCTGTGAGCAATTTCTGGGCAGTGCTATGTTGGCAACAATGTGGAATATAGTTGGAATTTTTTCCTAAAAGACCTTGATGAATGCACTTTATCTTTAAATGGCATCTTTTCAAGACAGGGACTAAGAAAATTTGGCAAGTCGCCAATCGTATATGATGTAAAGCAGGGAAACAGCTATTGCCAGTAATTTTTTCATGTGTGTGATACTGTTCTGCATTGATAGGGAAGATAGCTTAGACTTGGTGCTATCGCATTCTGCAGATGTGCAAAGATGAAGGATGAGATCCCTGTCCTTCAAAGATCAGCATTTCATGACAAACATGGAACCCCTTATTTGCCTTTCCCCTGCAATCTTTAGCCATTTATTTTAAACTAGAGGCCCGGTGCACAGATTGGTGCACAGAGGAGTGGGGGTACCTCAACATGGCCTGCTTCCTCTCACACTCCGGGACCCCTCGGGGGGATGTAGCAGTGCACCAACTGACAGGCGGCCAGGGAGGAGCCTGAGCAGGGGCCCGGTGCCACGCTGCTCGCACTCATCCCGACCCGCTGTGCCTGCCACCGCTGCTCGGTAGCACTGCCACGGAGTCAGGAGAGGCTCCTGCTGCTGAAGCTGCACTCGCCAGCTGTGAGCCCGGCTTCTGGCTGAGTGGCCCTCCCCCTGTGGGAGCGCACTGACAACCAGGGAGAAGCTCCTACATTGAGTGTCTGTCCCCTGGTGGTCAGTGCGCGTCATTGCGGCTGGTCGAGCAGTTCTATTCGTTCCGTCATAATGGTCTCTTAGGCTTTTATGTATATACTAGAGGCCTGGTGCACAAAAATTTGTGCAATCCAGGGGTGGGGTCCCTAAGCCCGGCCTGCGCCCATTCACAGTCCAGGACCCCTTAGGGGATGTCCACCTGTCGACTTAGGCTCACTCCCTGGGGGATCAGGCCTAAGCTTGCAGTCAGACATCCTTCTGGCAGCCAGGGAACCCTCAGGGGATGTCCAACTAAAGGCTTAGGCCCCCAAGGGATCAGGTCTAAACTGTTAGTTGGACATTCTTAATGCTGCCGCAGTGGTGGGAGAGGCTCCTGCCACCACCACTGCACTGGCCAGCCATGAACCAGCTTCTGGCTGAATGGTGGTTCCCCTGTGGAAGTGCAGTCAGAGTGCTGACTGATAGAGTTACTACCACATCAGGCGGGTTCTGCGGGGGCCGAGCTGCCTCGCCCCTGGGGTCTTAAGAGCATTTTCTTTTTTTTTACAAATGAACACAGTGAGGAGTCCCGCACCTATTTTTTTTTTCAACTTTTTAACATGAGGCACAAAAAAAGATTCTCTTCGTGGGCGCTCTTTTACAGCTACAGGCTGAGGGGAGAATGGCCTCCAGGGAGCATCCTCGAGGCAGTCACGTTCCCCACCACCTGGGACAGAGGAAGGAGAGGCTGCAAAACGGCCTTGTCTGAGCTCAGACTGACTCCTGCTCAGGGGGCTGCCCTGGATGTTCCCTGTGCCTACGGCCTGAAAGTAGGCTGAGCCCTCGAGGGAACCGTCTGCCCCAAGCCTTCCATCTTTTCAGGGCTAAAGTCTCACTCTTCCTATCGACCAAGTGTAGCAGCCGCTTAAAATCTAAGGGGTGACCCCAGAACCAAACCTCGTCTGTGCCATGAACGTGAGGCCTGGCTGCCCAGGGGGTGGGCATGACTTTAACAGCCAAGATGAGGGGAAGGGAATAAACTACGTGCAACTACAACATCTGAAGTCATATTTACATTTGAAAACCTGGGCCAGGAAGCTTGGAACAGCGTCAGGGCTGGGCAACCTGCCCTTTTCCTTCACTTGCCTGAAGCCGCACCTCCTCTACCTTGCACTCCTCTCCGCCGCTCACATCCTGAGGCGAACACCCGGGCTCAGCACCATTCTCTCCAGACATAGCGCCGCCCTGCTCTGAGCCACGCCCCCTCTCCGTATGCAAACATGGTGCTTAGCCTTGTGCTTAGCCATGCCCCCTGCCTTTCTGTACAGAAAATGGCGCCTCCCACTTTGGGCTTAAGCCTCCAGGTGAAGAGCTGCCTCCTGCTTCCCGACACGGGCCAGATCCGGTCCCCAGGCGGTGACGCAGCCCGGCTTCTGGGTCTTCTCTGATCACTGGCTGCTGGTGTCTGCCTCTTCCCTGCCCCGCCCGGCTTCTCTGATCACTGGCTGGGGGGCGGGCAAAGGCGGCCCAGTTCTCCAATCATGGGCCGGGGGTCAGGGCAAGGCGGCCCCCAGAGCCGCCTTGCCCTGCCACCTGGCTCTTGGCTGCCACCTGGGTTTCCAGTCACCGTCAGCAGCAGGCGGCTTCTCCCATCCTTCCCCTTTCACCTCCCAACATTGCGCCTACGTATGCAAATTAACCGCCATCTTTGTTGGTGGTTAACCACCATCTTTGTTGGCAGTTAATTTGCGTATCGCCCTGATTAGCCAATGGGAAGCGTAGCAAAGGTACGGTTAATTACCATGTTTGTCAATTATTAGTGTAGATTGGCTCCTTCTGTTTGACTGTACAAGAGAACACAATGACCCATATTTAAAGAACTTACCTCTGCTCCAAGGATTGCAGCCCTCAATAATGCAATTCAGCAAGTCCTACATGACACTTTGCAAGATATGTCACAGCCAATATATCAAACTGCAGGTTTTTCATGGCTATTATGGAAGCCCCTAAAACCATTGACACGGGCTGTCCTTGGCATAATAAACATCTTGTTCTTTAAAAGTTTGCCACACATGTGCAGTAAAACTGAATTTGCTTGCAACTTACAATTCAGTCGCTTTTC